ACGTACACAGGCTTGCAGAGGTATTGGAATCGTGGTTTAACGTGGTTTTCGTGGTTTAACAAACGGTTATCAGAGATGGAGTTCCCTCACTGTGAGTGAGTGGACAGGAAGGGATAAACAACAAGAGATGAACCCTTCAGGACATGCAATTCTGGAAATCACACGGTTATACACACAGAACACTTTTCCATGGTGGAGACCATCCAACTGATGCCAACGTCAGCAAGCAGGGGCTCTCAGGGGGACCCCTAAACCAGTTTCCCAGGTTGCACATCATAAACATTCTCTCATATGAACTAGTGCAAAGAACCTAAATGGGAGTACAAAAACATTGTAAAAAGATAAAAAATCACCTTCTGGAAGTCCAGCAGCTTCTTTCAGAAATAAGTTAATATTTCAAAGGCCTCTATAATAAGACAGGCCCTAAAATTTGGAGGAATTACTAAGTATTAATTATAATACAATTCACTCTCACAAGTTCTCCATTTTACTCCATGCCTGTGTCTTACCTAATTAATGGTTCTCTTGGAGCTAGGACAGCAGTAATTTTCTTGGCTGTTTCTTTGCTAAGAGAATTGCTATTGTTTCCAAATTTTGAATCGCAGCTTCTTTTTCACTGAGGAAAGTCCGGGAAGTTAACGTGCGGGGTCGATTACAGGGATCCTGAGCTCTGGAACATTGTTGAAAACATTGTTCCGCCACAGAGCTTTGCTGAGCCAGTGCTAAGCCAAGTAGCAGGGCTTCAGAAAGTTCATGGGAAATGTATGTCACGAAAATCCAGACAGGGCTTGCAAGTATTTTTACACCCAAATACACTTCGAATTCTATTTTCCCACAAACTTGCTAAAGTACTCTTGTCTTTGTTATTTCTGTCTATGGGGTAGCTTGAAGATTCACTCAGCATTTGTCCATCTATCTGGCTGTTCCTCTGACATACACTAGTTGAGCTTACTTTGCTGGCCAGGCACAGGTGTAGCCCCTGAAATGCACAGAGATGAGTCAGACACAACCTATGAAGTATTTTGTTGACAGTAGACATGGAGACAAATAAGTTTTATGTTGCTTGAACCTCATGCTGGCTCCGCAGATGAGGCAGGACAGGTGCTATCAGTCTCACTTCATGGATGAAATCATGGAGGCTCACACGATGGTTAAATAAGTTGTCCAAGGCTTTGCAAGTAGGAAGTGCAAGACCACAGACACAAACCCATCTGTATGATTCCAAATCCATACTCTTTTCCTTGCCCTGCTATGGGGTGCTAATGTCCTTCCTCAAAAACTTCTGGAGGCAGTGTTCTGACGAAACCGCCTAACTGACCCTCGATGTGTGTGTCATGAACCATGAAGCAGATTTATGGACAAATTCACCTAATAATTGCATTCCCTTTATCTGTTAATAACAGAAGGACAAGCATATTCTGCGTCCTGGTGTTTCCCATAGCTGTACTTTTTAGCAAGAGCAAACTTTAAAATCCAATTCAGTCTCATGCATGGATGAATCAGACTCGTTCCTCCGAGCAAACGAATGCACATCTATCCCATGACGTTATCTCTGCCACGTAGTGCCCTTTCCAGGAACCTCCCAATTATCATGACGTCCCCTGCAGAGCCAAATTTCAATATACAGCAAACTGAATTGTGATAAGCTTGAGAGAGAGATAAAGGCAGGCATGTATCACCGACATGACAACACACTGGACTGACAACCTGGGAGTGATTTCCCCAGAAACAGAATTTAAACAAGCAGGGTGGAGAAGCCAGGCCTGGGCTGGAAGAAACACACACACCATTGTGTGTTTGCATAGGACTTTGCTCCCTGTCCTGTATCTTTTTTGATCTCTGGGGTGACATGTGACATTACCCGGAACTGCCCCCACCCCCACAAATACTCCCATATCCTGGATTTCACTGACACATTACCCCAGCTACACCAATGAGACTTGATCTGGGGGTTTTGTTGTCAGGGTTATAAGAAAGAATCTCTCTCTAGCTCTCCCCCACCTTCTCTTTCTGTCAACCAGTTCAATGTGTGCTGCTAATACTTGCCTCTAAGATTTATTTATTTATTTATTTAAGATTCATTTATTTATTTGAAAGAGCTAGGGAGAGAGAGGGGAGACAGTGAGAGAGAGAGAGAGAGAGAGAGACATCTTCCACCTTCTGGCTCACTCCTCAGATGGCTGTAACAGCCAGGGCTGGGCCAGGCTGAAGCCAGGAGCCAGGAGCTTCATCCAGGTCTCTCACATGGCTGGCAGGGGCCCAAACACCTGAGCCACCCCCCACTGCTTTTCCTAGGCCATTAGCAGGTAGCTGGATTGAAGGGAGAGCAGCCGGGACACTAACCGGAATCCATATGGGATGTCAGCATTATAGGCAGTGGCTTAACTTGCTATGCCACAAAGCTAGCCCCACCACTCAGAATTCCAATTCAGGAGAACAGCAATCAGTTCTTTTCTTCTTGGTGATTTTGTGTCTCTTTGTCTGAAAATGTATGAATCATTTGAGCCAATGACCATTTGGCCCCATAAAAATCCTTAGCTGTGCAATCCACAAGATTTAGCCTTCCCTCTTCTTTTGAAGTGTACTGGAGCAACTGAAATTTGGTTTCGGGAAAACATAGCCAAAAATAATAATTTAAAGTCTTATTTTTTCTTTTACCCTCCCTTCCTTCCTTCCTTCCTTCTGAGAAATAGAGAAAGAACTTCCATACTCTGGTTCACTCCCCAAAAGGCCGCAACTGCTGGAGCTGGGCCAGTCTAAAGTCAGGAGCCAGCTTCTTCTGGGTCTCCCACATGGGTTCAGGGGCTCAAGCACTTGGGCCATCATCTGCTGCTTTCCCAGGAGCATTAGCTGGGAGTTGGATCAAAGCAAAGCAGCTGGGACACCAGCTGGCACCCGTATGGGATGCTGGCACTGAAGATGGCAGCTTTACCCACTATGCCTCAGCACCGGCCCCAAAATCTTATTTTTTAATGAAGAGTAAAATGTAAGAAGAGATGCTGAGACCAGAAACAGTTAAATGCTTGCAAAGTTAATGGCATTTCCAGTTGCTATAATAAAAGGCAATTTTTTATCTTAAAGATCACAGTCACTTAAAATTATCCAAGAAATATGGTACACTGATTTCATCATGATACCCTACTCTCTTCCTCATAATCTTGTTAGTCCACGTAGTTTCTCTTGAAAAAACACTGGATTTCAGCCAGATTCCATGAATACCTTGTTTTGTATGCTTTGCTTTGTATTCAGAACTGAAAAGGGAGGAGCAGTTACTAAAATTAAAGACTTCTAGAGACCTACGTATAAATTCCTCAAGGTAGAAGCAGTTCTCAATCGGCTTTTTGCTTCTCACAGTTCATGAATTAATTCCTTCTCTCAGCTATGACGACAGCGCCACTACAGCTCTGGTGCCCACCTGTTAGTGAGACAGGTTCTCATGGCTTGCTATTGAGCGGCAGCAAAGGGTGAGCCTATCAATTAGGAGAGTGCTCTCTACCTTCTTCACTTTAAAAATCTCACTAATATTCTTAATGCTTTCCTTTGGGAATTCTCAGACATCCCCCTCTCCCTTTATAGGTTGAATTTTGGGTAAACAGTTTAAGCTTGAAATTAGTTTCTAAAGCAAATGTCTATATACTATGCCCATAAGGTTCTTGAAGATGTCACTTATATGCATGGATTGCACATTTATTTTTGCAATAAAATAGATTCATCTTCTAATTTCATTTTCCTTGGGACCCACACTGGTGTAATGGATGAAGCCACTGCCTGCTATACAAGGCTCTGGTTTAAGTCCTTGCTGCTCCACTTCCAATCCAGCTCCCTGACAATGCACCTGGGAAAGCAGTGGATGATGGCCCAAGTGCGTGGGCCTCTGGACTCACATGAGAGGTCCAGAAGAGGCTCCAGCACCTGGCTCCTGGCTTTGGCCTGACCCAGCCCTGGCCATTGCGCCTTTTGGGGAGTGAACAAGTGGATGGAAGATCTCTGTCACTCCCTCTCTCTCTCTTTTTCTGAAACTGTGCCTTTCAAATAAATAAAAATAAATCTTTAAAAAAATTAATGGAAAATGGAGTTTAAAGGTAAGTTTATTTTGCTACAAAAAATGTGAAATCCATGCATATGAGGGGTTTTTACTTCATGAAAAATATATATTCTGAAAAAGCTACACATAGATTTTAAAGTTTTCTTGCCTCAAAAGAAACTTACCTTTTAATTCCATTTTCCATGAATATTCTGAAGTGCCCTGCAAGTGTGCACTTTTGATGAAGAATGTATTTCACTTTGCGATTTTCCACCCTTGTGACTAAAAGCATCCAGATCTTGTGAGGGTGCTGCCCGCTCTTTCTCCCTGTGTAGTCGCGGTCTGTCCCTGGGCCCTGACTATTTGACACACTTTATTTTACTGGATCTACTCCTGCTGTCTGCCAGCTAACCCTTAGTATCCTCCGGTACTGCAGATGACGCCTCTGTGCTCACTCATAACTCTCATGCTACAGATGAAGACGGCCGGGTTCAGAGAACTTGGTTCCATCACTAGTAAGGGTAGGACAAAGATTTGAATCCGGGACTGTTGTATCCCAAGGCCTATGCACATTACTAACTCTTCTTATGATTGCTTCATGCATGATTGATTTTTAGAAAATTAAATTATAAATGAATGGACTTTTTTGATTATGAAACATTAATCCTCTATGGCCAGTTATCCTGCTATTGAACATTTTCAATAACACATACATAAAACATGTATGCTCATATATTATAATATTTTTCACTATTATTATTTCAACAAAATGGTTTTTTTCTCCCCAGATTCTTGGTAAAAATCAATATTTCATATAATGTGCCAAGTTTAGAGAAACATGTCACTTTTTTTAAAACTTTTTTTTAATAAACATAAATTTCCAAAGTACAGCTTTTGGATTACAGTGGCTTTTTCCCCCCATAAACTCCCTCCCACCTGCAACCATCCCATCTCCTGCTCCTTCTCCCATCCCATTCACATCAAAATTCATTTTCAATTATCTTTATATATAGAAGATCAATTTAGTATATACTAAGTAAAGATTTCAACAGTTTGCACCCACACAGAAACACAAAGTATAAAGTACTGTTTGAGAAGTAGTTAGACCGTTACTTCACATAGTACAACACATTAAGGACAGAGATCCTACATGGGGATTAAGTGCACAGTGACTCCTGTTGTTGATTTAACAATTGACACTCTTGTTTATGGTGTCAGTAATCACCCTAGGCTCTTGTCATGAATTGCCAAGGCTATGGAAGCCTTTTGAGTTCGCCAACTCAGATCTTATTCAGACAGGATCATAGTCAAAGTGGAAGTTCTCTCCTCCCTTCAGAGAAAGCTACCTCCTTCTTTGATGGCTGTACTTTCCACTGGGATCTCACTTGCAGAGATCTTTCATTTAGGTCATTTTTTTTTGCCAGAGTGTCTTGGCTTTCCATGCCTGAAATACTCTCATGGGCTTTTTAGCTGGATCCGAATACCTTAAGGGCTGATTCTGAGGCCAGAGTGCTGTTAGGACATCTGCCATTCTGAAACATGTCACTTTTACTTAAAGATCTTATTGAGGCCGGCGCCGCGGCTCACTAGGTTAATCCTCCGCCTTGCGGCGCTGGCACACCGGGTTCTAGTCCCGGTCGGGGCGCCGGATTCTGTCCCGGTTGCCCCTCTTCCAGGCCAGCTCTCTGCTGTGGCCAGGGAGTGCAGTGGAGGATGGCCCAAGCGCTTGGGCCCTGCACTCCATGGGAGACCAGGAGAAGTACCTGGCTCCTGCCATCGGATCAGCGCGGTGCGTTGGCCGCAGTGCGCCAGCCGCGGCGGCCATTGGAGGGTGAACCAACGGCAAAGGAAGACCTTTCTCTCTGTCTTTCTCTCTCACTGTCCACTCTGCCTGTCAAAAAGAAAAAAAAAAGATCTTATTGAATGATATTCTCCACGGGAGAAGAAAATTAAGTAGCCCGGTGATAAATTATATACAAGTTAACTCTAGTTTCTCCCAAGATCACTTCTGTCCTTGGTCCATTCAATTTGTGCAATCTCCTTGTGTTGATGGGTGCAAATGTAACTATTGACCAAGTTCCACTGCCAGGGTCCCAGTGGTCGATAACAATAGTTAGCAAATATTTCCAAACTTATGTATATTATGAGGTTTTGCCTGTGGATTATTTTCTGTGGAGTTCCTTTTCCTTAAATGGACAGGATTTTATCTTATTTGAGTGAATTTAGGCTAATGTATTCTCAAAAATGATAATGATTTTATTATAAAATGGAACATATTCCTAAGGTTCTGTTTCTCTTAGATGAAAGTTATTACTAAAGTTCTTCTCAGGTATCTGAAAGTCACGCTGCGCATCAGTGTTTCTTACTGCCAATCACAACTCCCACCAAAGTCTTCTTTTACTTCTATTGTAGGCTTTTAATCAAGGGCATTCATGCATCCATTCACGTGACTTGTACCTGTTACAGGTGTTGGATGCTGGCGATAAAATGGCCGAGTCTGACTGGGAACATAAAGCGGAACATAGCAAGAAAATGTCTCACCTGCCCTTTTCCATCTTGGGGCGGCACAGGAGAAACTGAAAAGCAAGAATTGATGAGACTAAAGGCTGAGAGGCCAGACTTTAGACTGAATCAGATTGGTTTGTGCTCCAATAATATGTCCCTTGCCATGAATTCCTGAATTTGGGGCACAGAACTTATGCTGTATCACCAAAATAACCTTGTCTCCTTTGTCACTTTGTCAACAGAGTGACAAACTTGGCCCTGTAAAGACAGCAAAGCAGCCAGACCTGGCCAAAATCATTTATTCATTCATTCATTCATCTTGGCAAGCTTGGTACATTCTGTTTGATCCTTTTGGGAGGCCAGATTAAAAATTACATACAAAATGATTTCTGCTTCTGAGCAGGATGTGATAGGTCAATACGCTTCCTCAAGCAAGTGGAAGATACTACAAAGTCACTTTCAAAGGCATCTGGGAGCTGTGAAAGCCATGAAGATAAAGGGAAGTAAACTTCCGGAGAGAGGCGGTAATTCCGAGGTGATGTGACGATTGGCGGCAATTTTCATCTCAGGGTAGGCGTGAGCTCCCGGATGCACTGATGCTTGGGCTCGACCCACGTGCAAGGACTCTGCAGGCGGATTCTATGGCTGCAAAGTCAGTCTTTAACTTCCGAAAGGCAGAGGGGTATCGCCTGCCACTTTCCCTACAGAACAAGCAAAGAGCCACCGTGCAGGCAATGGAAAGCCTGGGATACTCCCCCCAGGAACTTACCACGCCACAGAAGGAGAGGCAAGCTTACCCGAACTGTCCCAGCTCAAGTCCTGACTGCGCTGAAGTGATGAAACCCCGCACGTGCTCGGGCTGCCGTGATGCTTAAACAGCCACAGCTTGTCCTTCACGCTCCTGGAGGTTGGCTTGTCCATGATCAAGATAGAGTAGTGGTCCAGGATCAGGATTCTGACCCGACTGGCTTCCTGGCTGCCTGTTCACTGTGCCCTCACATGACTTTGCCTGGCACATGCTCGTGGGGGTAGGGTTGGGGAAAGAGATTTCATTTTCTTCCCCATCTTAAAAGGAAGCCACACAAGACTGCCAATCCTTTGAGATTAGGGACCCTTCCATTTGACCTCACTTAACCTTAATGAGTACCTTAGAGTCTTCATCTCCAAGTACAGTCACATTGGGAGATACGACTTCAACATATACATTTGGGAGGATGCAATTCAGTTCACTGCAAGAGAAATTTCTTCTGTAGAATATAATGACGTCTGGGCTTTTTACGGTCCCTTAAACACCACATCCGACCTGCAAACAAGAGTAACCAGACAGTGAAGAGGCAAGCTCCTTTGACCCATTATCAAGGGGAAAATAAATGAAAGCACTTAGATGATCCAGTCAGTTGAAGCGTGGTAGGTTCATCAGCTGTCTGCAGCCTCTGTATCCCATATGGACGCTGGTTGAGTCTCGGCTGCTCCAATTCCACTCCAGCTCTCTGCTATGGCCTGGGAAAGCAGTAGAAGATGACCCAAGTCCTTGGGCCCCTGCACCCATGTGGGAGACCTGGAAGAAGCTTCTGGCTTCAGATAGGCCCAGCTTTGGCCTTCGTGGCCATTTGAAGAGTGAGCCAGTGGACGGAAGACCTCTCTTACTGTTTCTCCCTCTGTCTCTCTGTAACTCTGCCTCTCCAATAAACAAATAAATCTTTTTATTTAAAGAACTTTTAAACAACTGTAATTGATGACTTGTGTGTAGTAAAAATAGTAAGAGCTGCCTAGCTCTGCCTCCCTCTGTTGTTCCTGAATGATTAAGACCAACAAGAAAGGAGATCTAAATTGACATAAAACCATGCCTCTAGCATAGCACGAGGAAAGAGAATGCCAAAAGTTTAACGTCACTGTGCCTCAAGAGAGAAAGCAGCATGTTCCACCGGAAGATCTCCCCCACGCTGGCTGAGCCTGCCCTGACCAGCTCTGGGGTGAGTAAAGGCAAGGAGGACAGGCTCCAGGGAGGTCACAAAAGGGAGCTGGCAGTGGGGACCAAGGTCATTAAAGCTGTCAGCGAGACAACCAAGCGCAGCCCACAAGTGACCACATCATAACAGTGTCCAGGCAGAGCACAGCATGCTCTGTGGGGAGGGACTTCAGGCATTTGAGAACAAGGGAAAAAAACCCTTGTGTTAGAAATATATAAGACTATCAACAGAGATGGATAAAAACATGGAAGAAGTAAAACCAGAGATGACTGAACTCGGGAAAGACACGAGTGAAAGAGAAATATCCAAGAAATGAAGAATAAGTTACAAAGTGCTTGAAGGAGAATAGAGCCACATGCAAATTTAATAACCAAAAGAAAGGTAGGAAGAATAAGAGTGAAGCAAGAAGAAGACAAAGATGGTCAGAGAAGGAATAACGGAGCCAGAAGAAAGGCAAGGAAGGAGAGTACGTAAAAAGGAAACTACGGAGTCGGATCTTGAGTATTGATGAAAAATACTAAGTAAATATTCACAAGGAGAATCCGATGCCACTTAAGAAACACAACATGTTTAAGGGAAATTTCTTCTAATCGTACAAATTTGCTTAATAATAGGAAATGCATTAATATCACACTAGTCATGGCACTTAATACAACTAATTACATGATTATCCCCTTAAGTACTGAAAAAAAAAAAAAAACCTGTGACAAAACTCAAAATCCATTGCAATAAAAGCAGGAATTGAGGAATGCTTCCTCCACATGATGAGTACACATTTGGACACACACACATGCCCCTTGGTTTTCAATCCAGTGTATGATGTGATGGGGGGACTCCAATATCAGGAGTGGAACAAGAATACCCACCACCTCCACCCCCCGTAATACTATGGTAGAGTTATCATGCAGCCAGTTATACCAGAGAAATCGAGTAGAGGCGCAGGACAGGTTAAAAGAGAAAGGACTATCACTATATGCAGATAATAAAATGACATATGAGGGTACTTCAAAAAATTTGTGGGAAAATAGAATTAAAAGTATGAATTTATTTTGGGGCAAATACATTCATGGTGTAAAAACTTTTAATGTCATAATATGGGAAAAATGTGTATTATGAAAAATATACATGGATTTAAAAAGTTTTATGTGGAAAATGTTAGAACATTGCAGGAATTCAAATTAACTTCAGAGACATAGTAGGATATCCAGTTGATATACAAAAGTCACCAGCTGAGGCCTGCATTGTGGTATAGCAGGTTACACTGCTGCCTGCAATGCTGCAATGCTGGCATCCTATGTGGGTGCTGGTTTGTCTCCTGGCTGCTGCACTTCTGATCCAGCTCCCTGCTAAAGTACCTGGGAAGGCAGCAGAAGAGAGCACTGCACCCAGATAGGAGACCTGGAGGAAGCTCCAGGCTCCGGGCTTTGGCCTGGCCCAGCCCCAGCAATTGTGATCATTTGGGGAGTGAACTAGTGGGTAGAAGATCTGTCTCTGTCTCTTTCTGCTTCTCTCTGTAACTGCCTTTCAAATGAATAAATTCTAAAAATCTTTATAAAACAATGTCACTAGCCTTCATATACACACACAATAGCCAGTTACAGGATGTAGTGGGCTTCTGTGACAAAGTTCCATAATCTAGGTGGTTTCTAAACAACAGAACTTCATTTCTTGCAGGATCAAGGCGCTGGCAGATCCAGTGTCAGATGAGGGCCCACGTTTTGGCTCATGCTGGCACTTCCTCCTCACGTGCTAGGAGGCACAAAAGACTTTTGGGGCTGTTTTATAAGATTCCAACCCCATTTATGAGGGCTCTCTCTCCTGACATGTTCACCTCCCCCAAATCCCTCCTCTTAACACCATTACTTTAGAGATCAGGATTTAAACACATGCATTTGGAAGGGAAACAAATCTTCTGATCACAGTATAACCTGGAGATATGTCTACCATTACAAAAACAGGCAATGGCACAAGATTATTCATTATAGCACTGTTTGTAATTGCAAAATATTGTAAACGATCTAAATGCCCACACGTAAGAGGATGGTTGAATAAACTACGACTAAACTAAAGAACTAGAAATATCTCCATAAACTGATAAGGAATAATTAGGTGAAAAAGCAAAGTGCACAAGGGCATATATCATGGGAATATTTCAGGAAGAAAGGAAGGGGGTTATAAGAAAAATATGCATGCAAATTCTAATTTGTACAAAAATAAAGGAAGGCGGAGGATAATCTTTAAAAAAAGATTTATTTTTTTATTTTGAAAGGCAGAGTTACAGAGAGTCATATGAGGCAGAGAGAGAGCCCTTCCATCTGCTGTTCACTCCCCAAATGGCTGCAATGGCCAGAGCCTTGCCAATCTGAAGCCAGGAGCCGGGAGCTTCCTCCACGTGGGTACAGTGGTCTGAGGATTTTAGCCATCTTCTACTGTTTTCCCAGGTCACAGCAGAGAGCTGGATTGGAGATGCAGCATCCGGGTCTCTAACTGGCGCCCATATGGGATGCCAGCACCACAGGTGGTAGCTTTACCTGCTAAGCCACGGTGCTGGCCCTAGGATAATTTCCTTAAAAAAAACAAAAAAAACAAAAAAAACAAAAAAACACACAAAATGGTGACCTGTGGAGGATGGGGCAGGAAAATGTTTGAAAGACAGGGATGCGAAAAATGGAAGAGAGGAGAGTGGCACTTCTCTAAGGAGAGTTGTCCTTTGGGATCTGGGTGGGGGGGGGGATTTGTTCCAAGACCCCTCACAGCTACCAAAATCTGTACATGATCAAGTCCCTTACATTAAGTGCCATAGTATTTGCATAGAACCTGCACACATCCTTGGCCATATTTGCAATCCTCTCTGCACTGCATTGTAATATCTATTGCATTGTCAATGTCACATCAGTAGTGGTTTAATGCTTTGTTTAGGGAATAATGACAAGGACAAAAGTCTGTACCTGTTCAGTAAGCGCACAATGTTTTTCAAATGTTTTCCGTGTTAAATCCATCCACAGGTGCAGAACCTTGCACATACAGGACTGACCGTATACCTTCCTGTATAGCTCTCTGAGTCTTACATCCTGTGGCCTGCCAGTTGGCTCAGCACAGCCCGAGGCCAACAGTCAGGTTTTCTCCAGGAGGCCAGAAAGGATACAATACTCATTCCTTCCATTCACACTTTTTGCACAAACTATATTTCTTCTTTTATAAAGCAGTGCATAGTTTGTTGTTCAGATTTTTTGAAACCTTAAAGTAACAACACTCATTTTGAGCAATAGTTAAGAGTAAAATCAATTTTTAAGTGCTAAATGAATAATTTTATTTCTAACCTGTCGATTAGGAGTTCCTAAAGAATCCTTCTGACACCCTCTTTGTGCTCCAGGCACCTCTCATACCCTGGACAATTTGAGCTCACTAATTCTCAGCTGGAGGACTTGGGCGGGGATTAATTATCTCCCTAACATGCTCCTCCGTCTCCTTGAGCACTTGCTGTTCTTAATTACCTTCCCTTTTTCATCGTGAGAACTTGAAATCTATTTAAGCAATTTTTAAAAAATGCAATGCATTATTATTATAGTCACTCTATGTAACACCTCATAAATATCAACTATAATATATGTAGTTATTATTTGTCTGCTAAAAATAGAATAAAGAAGGAAATGACCTTCAGTTTGTGAGGTCGCTGTGCAAGGAGGACAAAGAAAAGATGGGTGTCACCTCCTGCACCTCGCTCCTGTCTTTGTGTGCATCACTTCAGCAGTTGTGGCTTGGATGGTGTCACCATAACCATTGTGTCTTGATCCTAGAGCAATTCTTGGATTCAATTTGAGCCTTTTCATTTAGTTGCTAGCGTTATTTAGCCTTGTTTCTTTGACATAGGCAAAAGAATTAGAGCTGGATTTGAATTCTGATGCCTGGTTATTGATTTCAGGAAAAACAATCTCTGAGACTTGATTTATATGAGTGAAGTTGGAATCATAATAACTGCATATTAAGAAGAAAAAACCTAAGTCAGAGAACCAGTCCTTGTAACACGGAGGCCAATGGATGTCCCCTTGTTTCTTATTTCATCTTCCTTTGTAGTCAGCAAGAACTTATCTTCTGTAAGACCACTGTCTCCTCAAGTTTGTGATCACAAGCAACAGAAACTAACTCTGGCAGATCGCACAGAAAACCAAGTCAAGGACATTGGACGAGGCACAATATATTCAGGAGAGCTTGGGAACCGGAACTGCAGGCCACAGAGCTGCCTGGGGCCACATCCCTGCCACTGGGTGACACCAGCTGCAGCCAGCATGTCCACCTCTCTGGTCAGAGAGCCGATGGCCTCTGGATGTTGCCTTGCCAGGACTGGGTCTGTGAAAGTCCAGGGTCCTTCACGTCACCAACGTCTGCATTAAAGTCCGAGGCAGAGAAACAAACAGAACAACAGGATGTGTATATGCAGGAGAGTGTATCAAAACATTTGTGCAGAATTAATCCACAACATAAACAAATCGGCTTAGGAAGTTCACAGAAAAATGGAAATAAAAGAGAATGCGTGGTTTCCGTGAATTTTTTGAAGATTCCTCATATCACACAGTGCATAAAATGAGACTTACCATTCAGAAGTGGCACATAGGATTACATGGGCTAAGAAGCCCCGCAATCTGTTGCCTGTAGCCTGGAGACCCAGGAAAGGAATGGGAGCAGTGGTGTAGAATCCAGTCTGAGTCTGAAGTCTCGAGAGCCAGGAGCAGGGGGGGCCGGGCCAGATCCACGTCGCAGCTCAAGGGGTCTGGCAGACAGCGAGTCCCACTTCCCTCAGCCTTTAAGTTCTACCCAGGCCCTCACAGTTAGATGCGGGCCTGCGCTGTGGCTCAGCGGGTTAACGCCCTGGCCTGAAGCACCAGCATCCCACTGGGTGCCAGTTCGAGACCAGGCTGCTCTACTTCAGATCCAGCTCTCTGCTATGGCCTGGAAAAACAATAGAAGATGGCCCAAATCCTTGGGCCCCTGCACCCACGTGGGAGACCTGAAAGAAGCTCCTGGCTCCTGGCTTCGGATTGGCACAGCTCCGGTCATTGCAGCCAATTGGGGAGTGAACCAACGGATGGAAGACCTCTCTCTATCTCTCTACCTCTCCTCTTTGTGTAACTCTGACTTTCAAATAAATAAATAAACCTTTAAAAAAAAAAACCAGTTAGATGACACTCATCTGTCAATCTAAATGCAAATCTCTTCTAGAAGCATCCAGAAACCATGTCCCACCAGATGCCTGGGCACCCCATGGCCAGTTAAACTGCAACTTCAACTTCACGGTCACACTGGGAGAGTGATCCTTTCCCTTCTTTCTTCCCCTGTCCTACCCCCTTTCTTTAGTTCCACCTTGCTTAAAACATCTTGTCCCTCAAACAAGTATATGGGATTTTAGGGGGCTGTAATGGCATCACACTAAGGATAGTCTTGAACCCTCTCTAATTTGCTAAGGGAAAATGCTAAGACATTCCTAACACTTGATTTGTATAAGTTATTAGGCTATTGTTGATGCTGGATCACTGGAAATCACAGCACCGTGACTGAAGCCCGTGGATTCAGGCCCAGCAGTATTGGAGAAATTCTTCTCAAAAACTGTTGGAGGGAGATTGCTCTGTGAACAACGCTGCACTCAGCAGAGGCCCCTGCATGCTTAGCTGTGTGCTCCTCCCCTGTGCTTTCTACTGAGCACAGCAAGCTGTGCAATTACCATTATTAGTAATTATTATTAATATTATTATTGTTTTTGACAGGCAGAGTGGACAGTGAGAGACAGAGAGAGACAGAGAGAAAGGTCTTCCTTTATCATTGGTTCACCCTCCAATGGTCGCCGTGGCCGGTGCGCTGCGGCTGGCGCATCGCAGTGATCCAAAGCCAGGAGCCAGGTGCTTCTCTTGGTCTCCCATGCGGGTGCAGGGCCCAAGCACTTGGGCCATCCTCCACTGCACTCCCTGGCCACAGCAGAGAGCTGGACTGGAAGAGGAGCGACCGGGACAGAATCAGGCACCCAGACTGGGACTAGAACCCGGGGTGCTGGCACTGCAGGCGGAGGATTAGCCTAGTGAGCAACGGCGCTGGCCTATTATTATTATTATTCTGGTGTCCACTGAGGCTTCCGGGATCTTTCCACAGAATCTACAATCAATCCTCAATAATCACAAATTAAACACAACTTGTAACTTGTTGACATTAATTGCTGCTCTCTACCACTGCAATGCTGCCCAAGTGAGTTGGCCCTTTTAGGCTAGCTGGTTGTGCCAGTTACAAATCACTCACTGGCATCTGGCAATGCTGATAGTGAGCTGTGCTATCACCTTCTTGGGTTTCTATTCTGCTAATGATCTGCTATGATAATTCTCACATCATTCAGTATAAATTAACTGGAGTCCCATGCTTTACTAGTAGAATTGTATGTGTGTGTGTGCACGTGTGTTTGTTCAGAAAAAAGAAAAAAAAAAAACCTCCTGTTTTGTCAACATCCAAAATGTTCCTCAATCACTGATGTCGTCCAGGATTTTGCCAGGGAGTAAATGGTGGCTTTAAACCATAAGGCAAAAATCTACCCTGCCTGCCACTGGGCCTCACCTCCTGAAAGTCAAGGACAGTGGTCTAAATTTAGTATGGACGGTCTGGAAGTGGTCTTGCCTCCAATCTCGGCCCGTCTCCTGCCATTTTTGATGGACATTCCATGGTGAGACTTAAATCTCTCCTCCTCACTGGAATGGTTCATTCTGAGCCCCCACTAGCAGGCTCATTCATTCCCGTAGAACCATCTTGGGGTGTGGGTAGAACAGACATCAGGTGGAGCATCTGAGCTATGGATTTCTGAAGTCCCCCAACTCTGGTCTTCCCCAGTTTTCACTGAACTTGGCAAGACAGATGCTTGCCCAGATGTCTCTCTTTCCACTGGAGTGCTGGTCTGATGGCAGACACAACACCTCTGTCTTTTCCTGCATTCTTTTGGACAATTTCCATGTATAAGAAATAAACAAAAGGGAATCGAAGGAGAGGAAAGTGAGATTTTCCTGTACAATCCTGAGATTACATATTTTAAACCCCTAAAGAGCAAAGGATGACTATAGGCTAATCCTCTGCCTGCGGCGCTGGCACACCGGGTTCTAGTCCCGGTTGGGGCACCGGATTCTGTCCCGGTTGCTCCTCTTCCAGTCCAGCTCTCTGCTATGGCCTGGGAGTGCAGAGGAGGATGGCCCAAGTGCTTGGGCCCTGCACCCGCATGGGAGACCAGGAGAAGCACCTGGCTCCTGGCTTCCGATCAGCGCGGTGCGCAGGCTGCAGCACGCCGGCTGCAGCGGCCATTGGGGGGTGAACCAACGGAAGGAAGACCTTTCTCTCTCTCTCTCTCTGTTCACTTTGCCTGTCAAAAAAAGTCTAAAAAAGTATAATTATGTGCCTTATGAACCTATTCATTTTTTTTTTTGGACAGGCAGAGTGGACAGTGAGAGAGAGAGACAGAGAGAAAGGTGTTCCTTTTTGCCGTTGGTTCACCCTCCAATGCCCGCCGCTGCCGGCGCGCTGCGGCCGGCGCACCACGCTGATCTGATGGCAGGAGCCAGGTACTTATCCTGGTCTCCCATGGGGTGCAGGGCCCAAGGCCCTGGGCCATCCTCCACTGCACTCCCTGGCCACAGCAGAGAGCTGGCCTGGAAGAGGGGCAACCGGGACAGAATCCGGCGCCCCAACCGGGACTAGAACCCGGTGTGCCGGCGCCACAAGGGAACCTATTCATTTTAAAAAATGAAATTTATTTTCAGTATGTCAGACAGAGTGCTAGGTTATATTTGAATATAAAATATCATATAAAATAATGTAGTATTTTATAATATAATATTATATGTAATATAATAAATAGGATGTTATTAGAATTATGTTTATACTTCTAAATCTTATGACATAAGGGTTATAGGAAATAAGGAAATAAGGATTGTCAATTTTCCTGTCTGAAAAATTGGTTTCTAGTTTGCATTTGATGTTTATATCTGAACTATGCCTACAGGTTTTATTCTTTGAGGACCCCTAAAGGAATTAAACAATGCTAGGTGACCTACTAGAATAGCAGTTCTGCTTTCAATAGCAGAAAATCGGGCCTGAATACTCGAGAAATTTGCCAGCAAAAATTAGCAGCCACTAACTCCGATAGAAAATGAGAGGGGAAGGCACTCATCTCATCAGCAGCGATGCCATCCGTTTCAACAGCAAGGATGTGGGAGTGAGGCTCTGAAGACCACTTCCTCTTTAAGGGTCCTCGCTTCCCTTCTTACTGAAAGACAAATGGCAGGGTAAAGGATAATGGTGGTAAATGAAATCCAGCAGAGCTGAAAAGCAGAGTTGCATCATTGTTCTCTCACCTAATTGCATGTGATCTGGACGTACTCAACAGTGACTTGGGCATGCATGTACAATGCTGACCGCCCAGGTGCCACAAGCAGTTGTCACTGTGTTCGAATTATATTGAAAGCTTTGTAAGAATGGGTGCTGTAGTAGGGTTGGCAGAAATGGGTATTCCAATGGATTCAAACAGGAAGGTCATGCAGCAAGCCCAGGCCTTCTGCAGAGAAGACAATGTTCTCTGGGCTAGTTGAACACACACAGTCAGGGGCCATAGGGCTGGACCATAAGCTATGGGACATGTTTCATTAATTCACTGCTATCTGCAGAGACTACATTATTGCTCACTGGATATGTGGCCCTGGCGGATGGGGTGGTGTGAGTGCCTTTTATTTCACCTTTAATTGAGTGTAAGGCATTGAGTTAATAAAAGCCTAGAGTCTGATGAGAAATCCACTTTTCCCAAAAGAAAGAGGCTCAAAGACCATTTAAGAGAAAGATGATCCCACTACGGTAGACCTCATCCAACTACGGATAAATGTTCAAACTTGCTTCTTCACATTAATTTTTCCCCATATATGATTGACCTGAATTTTCTTCTTAACTTTTAGGGCCTCTGGTCTCTTATCTATACATTCTGTAAGTCTCCTTCCAATGCTAATGTTTGGATTTTATGGGTAATCAAGTCTGACTCACAAAAACTGGACCAGTGACATGCAGACACCAGTGCTTGTGTGGAAGTTTGATCCAGCTCTCTGCTATGGCCTGGGAAAGCAGCAGAGGATGGCCAAAGTGCTTGGGCCCCTGCACCCTTGTGGGAGACCTGGAAGAAGCTCCTGGCTCCTGGCTTCTGCCTGGCCCAGCCCTGGTTGTTATGGCCATTTGGGGAGTGAGCCAGCAGATGGACGATCTCTTTCTCTGTATCTCCCGGTCTCTATGTAACTCTTTTAAAAAAGCACTTCTTAGTCATCAGATCCCATGGTATTGACTTAATTTTCAACAAGACACAATCTCTGGTGACTTGAAAGCAGAAATACAGTTACAATTTCACTTTCCCATTTGTTACTGAATGAATCAAGTACTCACTTTTTAAATCCAAACAGTTGTTGGTTGTTCCTGAAGAAATTCTGGTCGCCAATGCGGAATTCAGATTGATTGACAAAACGGTCTCATGATAACCTCCAAAGAAAATTGTGGTAAATCCAGCAGTAGTTCTGGTTTGGTGAGCAATCCCTCACCTAGCACTATGATTGGTGTTAGAGTTCTCAAAACTGTTACTTCTCTTCCCTCTTCTGTATTGTCCATTTTACACAGAGAAATTTGTTGCCTAAATCCACAACTTTCCAAAATGGCACCCTGCAAGGGAAATCTGCCGCAATTTCTCAAGCAGAGAGATTGAGACCTGACCCTACTTGCCTACTGTTGGTTTGAATCTGCCCTATCCATTCATATTTTATTTGAGTTTTAAAATAGTACCTTGGTTTTCCTTTGGAGAGCCTCTCCTCCATGTGTTGGCTCCAGGAAGCTGGCATTAGAGTAGAGCTGGGCCCACACCTGGCTAATCAACAAGTTCAGACCCACAGATTCTTATCTCATGATACTTGGAGCCAGTCTACTCTTGGCCTTATTGGCAATGAGATTTAATAAATTCCATTTCTTAATAGCCAAAGGAATTCTAACACTTTTGTTTCAAAGCAAGTCCATTGCCTTCTATGTAGGCAAATTCCATTTTTGTGTGGCCACAATGCCACTAGAGCTATGGCATATTTCATAGGCAATGACAGCCCCCTGCTTGCCCACTGCTCTGATTCCTGAGATCTCCTCAGGATGCGACACCATTGACTTTGAAGGTCACAAAGGCTAATTCACACTTGGAAAGAAGTATCCAGAACAGGCTGTTAGGGCAGAGCTCGGAGTAAGCAAACTTCATACAGGAGCAATCTTTCCTCCCACCTCCAGGAAAGGGTAGTGGGATTTTCTTAGGAAAGAGAGAAGAAAGATTAGTCACCTATGAAAGTCCACAACGGCACTGTGAAATAGGGAGAAAGCAATGTCTGCTTCCATTGTGTGTCCCATAGTCACCAAAAGAGTTTAGAATAGTGAGTGGCAGACAAAGATCCTTCTGGAACTCTTGACTCCGAGTAAAGGAAGGCTAGCGTAGGGCGTAGGATATAGCATCTGGGGCTGAGCTGCCTACTTCAAGTCCGCTGTGGCCATCTTCTGGCTGTGTCATCCCAGGCAAGTTGCTTAACTTCTTTGGGTCTTAATTTCCTCACCTATACAGTGGGAATTAAAGCTGACTTGTAAAGTCTTGTTTAAAGGAATTAATCTACGCAAATGCTCATGACAGTCCAGGTACAGAGCAAAAACTCTTTCTATTTGCTGTCAAGTCTTGCTGGTTCTTCTGCTTGGGGGTTACTGTTTATGTCCAAATCCCATGATTACTTCATAGTTCATCTCTCTTGACCTTCAGGGCCTCCAGGCCCTTTTCTCCACTGTCCCCTGGAATTGATATCCACACACTCAAGTCTCAACTGAAAACCTTGGGACCAGAGAAGGGGGACTTTACCAGATTGAGCCACAGCCAGAATCCAGGATGCAGGGATGTGGTTCATCTTCCCATCATAGTTTCTGTGCTTCTCTTGCCTTTAGACTTGAGTATACCTCGTCCTCTGGAGCCCACGTAGGGTTGCTTAAGAGTCCGCTCCCAAACCTTACAGGCAGATACCCTGCTGTGAGGTTGCCAAACTCTCTGAGTTCATGGTCCCCTAAACTGGTAGCCAGCTGGAGTGAGGGCCACACTTGCCTACGCACCACAGTGACCCCTGGCCACACACTGGCAATGCTGAAATGAGTGTTTTGTAGATCAATGAATAAGGGGTTTAAAGTGAGAACAGCTTCGATCCTAGGATGACGATTGCCTAATTGTACCAAGGCTAATGATTCACGGGGATTATCCCCAACACTTTTGCAGTAGGAAAAAAATTAGGCCGTATCAGTTTCTGGATCTCTAATATTGCTAATCTCAGTTACAAATTTTCCCAGGCTAAAGCTGCGTGTTACATTTACAGTGCAGTTTAAAAAATTTTAGTACTGCATGCAGGCATATGTCTTTAATTATTTCTTTTCATAGAAGCTCAGTTTTTTAGAAGTGAGAAAATCACTGTAATTGCTTGCCCAGCACTCAGTAAACAACCATGAAATCTTTTGGGGGACATCTTATGAATGCTTTTCTAAGAGCGCTGTTTTTATGCACTCACATTGAGAAAAATCCACTGCTGCTCTGTGCTGCATCCTCTGTGTTTGTTGGTAAATTTAGAACAACTCCAGCAATGCTGACCTTAGCTGAGGCTTCATTAATCACTCTGTCATGAGTTTACATTCGATTTAGAAAGTCTTATAAACATTTATAAATTTAGATTTTCAATAACTTGCTAGGAAGAAGAGCTTGAATAATTTGTCAGTTAAGGCATCAATGAAAGCAAGAATGACTTCATTTTTTTATTAAGAAAATAACTACTCCAACCTCTCCGAGAAAAGTCCTTGTGTCCAATCTCTAGGATGTCAATCTGAGAATTAGACATAAGATTAAAATTAGAAAAGATAGTGGCACCAGACAGAGCACTCAGAGGGCGCTCCCTTCACAGCACTGAGTTTTAATGGCGATCACTCTGATCCTCCCAGTTTCTGTAACTTCCATTCAGATGGAGAGTGATGCTGGGCTTTCCTGCTCCGTTGCAGAGGGCTGCAGGAGCTGC